CAGCGGTAGAAAAAATGATCATCTTTACCAGGAGTGGTTTGTAAAGCACTTGGGTATTATCGGAGATGGATGATGCTGTGGTTTAGGCTATAAAACCCCAGGGTGATGCTCCTGGCAGAGGGAGGTGCTACTTTGAGCAGCTTTAATACAGGCAATGCATGCTGCGAAGCACCCATCTGAAACTCTGGTGTAATGTTTCTCTGAGGGAGTTTGTGCTGCAAAACTTTATTTGCTATAAATGCAGAGTATTATTGCAGGGTTGTATCCTGTTTGGAAATGACCTCATCTTGCTTCTGTTAGTGGTTAGCAGTTTTGTACCACATGATCTATGAATAATACACCGCACATAGCTCTCCGGAAAACATCAGAGCTGTGAGATTGATGCCTCTCAGATCAAGCTGTTACACTTCACTTCCAACTCAGTTTGGGATAATAATATGACAGCATTCATTTTGTGAAACTAAACTGTGTGTTCTTTCCTTCAGAGATATATCTCTGGGGTGCTGTAGTTGCTTACCAGCCCAGAGCAGGCTGTCATCCCATGAAGTGCAGTTCCCCAGTCCTCCTAATTTCCTCACATTCAGGAAGATGAATTCACTTGGATTTACTTAGCCCTTGGGTGAAGTTCTGTGTGTCAGGACTGTTTTGTTTGGTTTTTAAGAGACAGAAATATTCAGGACCTCAGCTTTTGGAGACTATGGCCATTGCCTTCCTTAGCAATTTTCTGTAGTACAAGCAGTAGCTCTTGAAATACCTAAGAACTCAGGTGACTTCTTTTTGCCATCTGATAAGGAGATGATGGCTTGGTTTTGCACATCTGTTCATAACAACTTCTGGGCCAGGACTCTCTCTTGGCCTGTTCTCTGTGTCCATCATTTTCCATGTGATGATATTGCTCATGCACCACCTCGGAGAAAGTTACTCATCATTAACAGAAACTGGATGAGCAACCAGCAGTAACTGCTGCGGTTCTTAGCCAGAGCAACTGAATCCCAGGAGGGTATTCTCTGAAATAATAGGGAAAAAAAAAAACACTACTGCAGGAAACCTGTGCTGGATAGATCATTCATAGAGAGGGAAACTGCTCTTTGGTGTTCTCGCTTATTTGTATTGATAGGCATCCCCTAATAGTGGTGTAGGGAGGTTGGTGGAATCATTCTTTAACTGCAGGAACATCTCTGACTCCCCAGTGTTCTCCAGATGCTTTCACCAAAATCAGTTGGCAGTGTGAAGCTTTCTTCAAAGTGCCACTACGAGAGCTGGCAGTGTCCTGCGTATTGAGATGGCTAAGATACCTCACTTCTCGAATATAATAGCCCTTTCTTTCTACAGCCCCCCTTTGCTTTGGAATGGATATTTTCTGTTTTCTTTTTTTACCAGCCTTTGTTTTAAATGGGCTATTTTTTAAAAAAAATTCAATTAGAAAAATCAAATAGATTGTTTTTATTATTATTAAAAAGCATGTTTAATGGAAAGCAGGGGAAACACAACAATCTAAATATGTTCAAAAGAAACAGATGCTGGGGTGAGAGGAGGATGACTTGGAAGGGAATTGGGAGAAGTTTGACTTGCAAATCTTATCACAGAAACTGTTCTGTTGAGGGTGATGTCCAGTACAAACAAGAAGTGGTGGAAGCACCATCTTTTGAGACTGCTGAAACCAAAAGTAAAACACTGAAAATCCCAAATACTATTCAGCTTTGTCCACCTCCTACTGCTCTATTCACAGCCTCCCAAGAAGCACAGCCCTTCACCAACACTGTAGAGCCAGAGATTTTTCTTGTCCCAGGAAGATGCTACATAAGGGGATCAGCAAGGGCACTGCCATCATCTAAGCTAGGTTTTCACCAAGTAGATGAGGGAGCAAGAATGTTTTACTGTGAGGTTATATGAAATTAAACAAGGTTTCTAATTTAATTAATTAAATTAGTAAGGAAGTAGAGAAGAGCCAGGCTGACTGCATCACTATCATATATAAATACTACCATTGCTATAAGATTGCTTGGCATCAGCTGTGGCATCATCCACAGTTACCTGCAAGAAGAATTCAGGACCCATGTGGAAAATAACATCCACTGACTGCAGAACCAACCTGTCCTCAGCCTCCAGCATAGGAGCATGCACAGATGTTGGTGCTGCAGGAGGCAGAGGGAGCAGGGTGGACTGCTTCTGAGTTTTGGAAGTCGAACGATGGGCGGATTGTCAGGATCAGCATTTCTTTAATTAAAACCTGTACTCTGTGAGCTCAGGCTTCTGGATTCCGTGTTAGCACTGGTTCATCTTCATCTTCTCTGGGCCTCAGCTATTTGTTAAATGTCAGCCAAAGACTTAGATTGCTCTCGATGGCCTTAGCTAGCTTTGGTAAAGTACTTTGTCCACAGCCCATATACCCCTTTATTATTATTAACAACAAAAGTAATAAATCTAGCGTAACAAAAACCCGTAAGGGAGAGGGATATTCACTGGATTGCAGTTGAGGCACTCTGCTGGTTTTGAAGAATGGCATGCACGGTTTTTACACATCGTAAAATATCCTGACTGCAGCTCCTTGGCCCTGAGCAGCTCCACGCTGTAATGCTGCTGCTGCATCCAGAAATGAGCGAGGCCCAGTTTGCAGGAGGGATGCAGGAGGGAACTGCAAACTGTTGGTGTCTCAGCGGAGCAGATCACCCCATAAATTGTGGGAGGTGGAAAATTCTTGCTGTCTGGTTACCGCATCTGACCACAGTCCCACCAGGAGCTGCAGAAACATTTTGCTGAGCTCCCCAAACACAGCCTTTGCCACGAGGCTTTATGAGAAGCACAGGAATGAGCCATGCTGCTGCTTACATGAAGACTTTGCTTGTTGACTTTGCATTTGTGAAGGGAGTAAACTCTAAGCTATCTGTCTTCAGATACCTATCCCTGTTCCTGTGGAGTCGTGACCATTGTACTCCTTTTTAATGCTGCAGCAGTGAGCCCTATTCATAACAGTGATTGCCCAGAGGGGTGCACAGGCTAAATTGAGTATTGAAAAGTGTTTTAACCTTCAGCATAGCAGCCTAGGGGATGTATTATTAAAGAGGTACCTCCCTTCAGTTGTAATTAGGGAAATTGCCATCTGAGTGATTAATCATCCGATGCAGCAGTGTGTGGTACATGCAGTTAAGGCGCTTGAATTGGAATGGTTGAACACAGATTTCCTATCATCCATATTTGCTGAAAATCCACACTTTTAGCACCAGGCAGCGAGCCCTAAGGCACTTACTGCCTCTGGTAACAGAGTCTGTTTCTAGAAGGTTTTGCACAGAAAATTTCTGTGTTTGACTAGGGTAGGACTGGCCAGTCTATGACGCCAGGTGAGGCTGAGAACAGCAGGGCAGCTAGTCCATGCTGCTGCCTTTGGGCACATGTGTGGGAGCCTGGGGCTGAAGGTGGCCCATTACTGCTGTCTGACCAGGCATCTGCTGGGTGACACCAAGGAGCTGTACTGGGTAACATGAAGAACCACATTAAGGGACAGAATTCTGACAGTGGCCAAAACATTGGATGTGACCAAAATTAGGCATGGGACCTCCTGTGTTATGGATTTGGCACCAGGACTTCATTAGTGCCCACTACGCTTAGTGGGTGTTGAGGAGCCTGGTCCTTTGAGCATCATTTCGATCAGCGAAGGTTTAAGATTTATTTTTGGAGGGACATACACTGTGAGGAGGCTCGTGCCTACAGGCAGCTTTCTGCAGCACTGAAAGCACTGTGTCTTCGTGAGATAAGTGATGTGGGGAGATGCAGAAAGTCACGGTATTTCCAGTTGTCTTTTCTTCTTTTCAGTAGGAGCTTTGCAGCAGTTACTCTGTGAATGAACTGCTTCTGTGTTATGTTTATAAAAGGAATGCACTGTTAGCAGTATCTTATCTGCATTTGTTATTTGAATTAGGCTGCATGCTGGGGTATGAGAAATAGAGTCTCTGTGTGGCTTTTCTTATTTCGAAATAAAAGAGACCAAACAGAATTTTGTTTTGCTCTCCCCAAACAAGCAGATGTTCTATCCATTAGCAGCTGGAGAAGCTGCTCGGGGAACTTTCCAAGTGCAGAGGAGCCTGTATTAAGCACGTAGCATCAGTGTGGGTGCCCGTAAAGTCTCACAGGCATTATGCTGGAGGACATTCAGTAAACTTTACAGCTTGCAATGTTGTTGAAGATTTATTTGCTAACTGCTTCTTGTCCAGTGACAATTAAATCTTTCTGTGCTTGGCTCTTCCCTTCATAAAGAGATAGAGCTCGAAGGTGGAGCTAGAAGCCTATGTGTGTGCATACAGGCTACCCTAAAGGAAAGGACAGTTTTCTGTTTTGAGGAGGGCAGCAGCTGGACCAGGCAGAGGACAATAAGGTACATCACACATGCAGAGCAGATGTTTCCAGCTTGCTGTGGTTGTGGAAGCCATGTATATGGCACAAGTAGGAAAGCAGACTGAGGTAGTACAGTGATTACTGCACAGAAAGAAGAGCGATCTGTGTTAAGGTGTGCCTTTACATATAGAATCATAGAATGGCCTGGGTTGAAAAGGACCACAATGATCATCTAGTTTCAACCTCCTTGCTATGTGCAGGCTGCCCACAGCCACATCCAGCCTGGCCTTGAGTGCCTCCAGGGATGGGGCATCCACAACCTCCTTGGGCAACCTGTTCCATTGTGTCACCAGAATACATAACCTGCTGCAACCCAGGTTAGCTTCAAAGAAACCTGGAACCAGAGGTAATAAGACACTGCACCAGCACACAACCCCCACACATTGTGTGAGAGTTGGAGGAGGACTCACAGCCACTGCTGCATTGAGCTCCCTGACATGCTTCGGGTTCTACAGCAGTGGGTGCAGATCCATGGCTTGTGATAGGCACCAGCTGCATCAGGGGAAGCCCCAGAGGGAAGCACAGGTTGTCCTTTCTGCAGATGAGCAATCATTCCTGACACAATAGGGGTTTGCCACCTGCCCTGCTTGCAGCTGCAGTTTCTGCTTCCATCTCCCACGCACCATCCTCTGTCTTGCACGAAAGCAGGGCTACTACCCAACAGCTCACTCACTGTTTGCCTTGCTTTGCCCTGCTAGAATGCAGCTGGCTGCCAATCTGTCCACAGCCTTCTAGCCTTTCCATAAACTGCTAGTTGTCTTACACTGGTTCTTCCCTCCTGAAATCCTGCAGGATGTGCACTGCAGCTCCTTTCATCTTGGGTACAGTTCCCTTTTCTCAAGACATTTCCCATCAATGTGCCTCTTGTGTCCATTGCCAACAGCTTCTGCGCAGTCCAGCTCTGGACAGATCTGCTTGCTCAGTGCGTTATCTCTGATGCAATCCTTTCCTCCTATGGAAAGCCACAAAAATTGCTTACATTAAAGCAATGACAGTAGGCCTTGAAAGGATAAAGCTTCCTTTTTACTTTGAGCTGTATTTGCAGTAAGACTACCATAACTGTGGTGTTCTCTTGTGCTTACTGACACAGGAAAGAATGTGTGATTTGGGATTTTATGCTAATTACAGCCTGACACCGTTCCCATGAACTATACAGAGAATTGCTCTTGTTTTTTTAGCACCTTCCTCCCACTTTTCTGTGGGTCGGGAACAGTGAGAACAGAGCACTCCCTTGAGCACGGGATTTAAAACTCCATGATCTGAGAGCAGAGACTTGTCAGCACTGGCAAATCGTCACCTTGGCAGGTCCAAGATGCAGCCCTTTGGATGCTCTGCTGTCCCTTTTGGTTAGGAGGGAGCACAGCTGTGGAGAAACAAAACATGTGAGTCACAATGGGAGGGCTGAAGAGCTGCACTCTCCCTTCCTCCAGCTAAGCCTGGTCTAAACATTCAGAGTTTGCTTTCAGGAGGACAAAAGCTTTCAGATGCAGCACTCCACCAATTTTACAGGTGGAGTACTCCATTCTTTTGTCCAAGCTGCCATCAGAGGATCTTCTCTTGGCAGCAAGCAGTCTGACTGTACAACTCTTAAAATGGTATTTTTGCATCCTGGTTTATGATTTGCTATTATAAATGCTATAAATTAAGGAGGTAGCGCTGAAAAAGAGATTGAGATTTTATGTGCCTTTTGTTCTCTTGGTTGATCATTGTGTGGTGTTGAAGAAATCGTTTGATCTCTCAGAACCTCTGAGTATTTGCAAAACAGGGGTGGTGCCTACCAGCTGGTAAAATGCAGGGAGAAGATAGAAGGGGAGTTAACATAGTGTTAATCTTCCAAATTCGCTATAATTTGTATAATCCCTCTATTGCCCTTGGTGTGCATGCAAGCCTCCTGTAAAGCTTTTGTCTTTAGAAACTTTCCTGAACACATCAAATGCATGACTTTCTTGTCAGGCAAGGCTTGAGAATTTAATCTCTGACTTAGCATAACAATTACTTATACATACCAGCATCTTCAAAAGCAGCATACTTACCTTTGATAGAATTAACATTGTTCTTCCCTCCTTTCTTCCTAGCATGCACACAATAGTACTTCAGCTGATCAGTGCTGCAACTTGTTAACCTTGCAGAGGAGACAATAAATTGTCATGGCTTTGTTGTTCTCCTACAATAATAATCCTCACGGTAATCCTGAAGCTGTTACTCAGCATGGGCAGCACTTGGATTCCTGATCTATTTCAGCTGTGGTTTTTCAGCCTTCTTTAGGTTTGCCAAGCAGCCTCATTTCTTTAGAGAGCTTTTCCACCTTCTGAGGCAGAGGAATTTCTCCCCAGATCACAATGAACTTGTTTTGCTTCATGATAGCTGTTACAGCTTTACTTAGGTGTGTTTTTGTATGCTGTCATGTGAAGGAGACTGTTGACTGCAAATAGCTCAAAATTCTTGCAGTATGGAAAGAAGAAGTTGCCAGAGACAGAATTTCCATGTCATGGCTGGCTCCCTGGTGTTTTAGAGCAAACTAGCCTAGCCACTTGTTTGCAGGTGTTTCAGTGCTGCAGGCTCCTCTGTACAACACAGTGTCTGCAGGCTATCATTGCAGGCTGGGGACGAGCTACCATCTAGCAGTAGCACCCACAGACAGCAGCAGGTAATTCAGAGCTGGGGTTAAACATTCCTGAAATGTTGGGAAAAAGCACAACAGGTTTGTTAGAAATTTCTTAATTGGCACAAGCAAAAAGCTTACTTTGTCCCATTGTTATTGCTCATGAAAAAATCTCCTATTCCACAGCAAAACAAATGAAGTAGAAGAGTACTGGGGAATGGTAAGTCAGAGTTCAGCAATTTCTCAAGGGCCCACATCGTGCTGTCACTGAGATAATTATCAGTATCTTACATTCTTAATTGCTGCCTTAACTGAAAGAAGCAGAAGCTCCCAACTGCTGGCCCTTCTACATGCTGTCACCATTTGCCCCTATGCCATCTTATCTCATTCATAAGTATAAAGGGATGAGCTTTCAGATGTTACTGACTGCTTGTCAGAGTCTACCACAGAAGGAGCTCCCTATAAATTGGTTGTCTTTTACTCTGTTTTGCTCTCCACTAACTGTTAATAGTGTTGGTTTAATTTAACATTTTAGATGAGACAGTTTGTATCTGGCAACATTATGCTTCTGAGTCTTCATGGAAACTCAAATGTCTTTGAGCACTTAGGCTGAGTAAATGATTGGAAAATATTTCTCTGGTATGTGCATGGGACAAGAAAGTGGATTTTAAAAGGTGTTTAGTTTTATTAAAGGCTACTTGTGTTACCTTTTCTTCAGATTTTCTCGAGCAGACAACGTATGAAGTCGAGGCGTTCTTAGAAGCCATTCAGTTCTTCCGACAGGAGAAGGGCCACTATGGGACATGGGAAATGACAACCGGCAGTGAAAAGGAGGTAAACCAACGTCTTCCTGATGTGGGGGGCTTTGGCTGCAGCAGCTATGAGAATAGAGGTGGTTATAAAGCTTCCTGGGGAAAAAAAGTATTTAAAAATGAAATGCTAAAATGCAGGAAAATGCAGGCAATCCTTGCTGTGTGCTGCATTGGGGTGTGCTCCGTCCTTCTGCCTTTTCTGCTGTTCTGCAGATAAGAAATGTATTTTCTTCTGTTGCAATTGCTTTCGTAACAACAGTTTCCAGTTCCTTGTGGTCCAACGCCTCCCAGTGCCATTAGAGGAGATGAGGCTTTATGAAGAAGGGCAGCCCCATGTGTGTTTTGAAGGATCTCTTCATTTTGCTTTTCCCCATTCTTTGCAAATGGAGCTTTAGTCCTGAGCAGACAGGCCGGTAGACCTGCTGCACGTGTGCCAGCCTTCTGAAGCATTGCTCAGGAGCAATTACACTCAGAATGCCAAAGATTGGTGCACTTCAAATGGTACACTGAGCTCAGGATCGAGGTCCATACTCAGGCACGTGTGAGCAAGTGGAGCACTGATGGTAGCTGAAGTAACTCTGCTGATCCCTCTAGCATCACCCCAAATATATTTTAGCGTGACTGAGACATTGTTTGGGCCCTGGTTTATGTGGTTTTTTTTCAAAGCACTCAGCAGTGAACATTTACTTTCATAGCAGCTGTTGGGTGTTTTCCTTGGTGAAGTACGGTTTCCCTTTGGGAAGATGGCAAAAATCTGATAGAGCTTTCAGGACGCAGGGTTTTGTTTTAAGAAACCAAATTATGCATTTAGAAAAAGTAAACCTTGGAAATGCTGAAAAACGTGCAAAATGAGGAAGAATCTATAAGCAGCATCTTTCCCAGAGCCACCACACTGGGGATCAGTTTCTGCTAACATTTGACAATAAATACCATAATGTAAGGAGTTTCATTGTTCCAGTGGAGGGACTGAGTTTTTCACTTCTTCCTTCCCCCCCTCACATTATGGATCTGTTATAGCACTAGTTTCATTTTATGTTTTATTTTGCCTACTGCTTGCCAACTCTTTATTCACAATGCATAAAGCTCAAGAGGACCATAATCAGAAGACATCCAGACTAGTTATGCTATTATCCTCTTAGCAATATTTCATTCTGTAAATAGAGTGTGTTCTCATGCCTGTTTTGACTGAGTAGAAGAATTGTTTTAGGCAAATGTCCAAGCTAAGTGAATGGTTTGGAGCAAGCAGGCTACAATTTGTTGCTGTAAAAATTTCTGCAGAATGCCAATAAATACATTTACTGACATTGGTTTATAATGGCAGACTCTCCACAGGATGTGCTAAAGCAGTCATTAGCTCACGCAGCTCTGCCTAGGTACTGGAGCATGGATTTAGCAAAACAATTAGCCAGGAACTCTGCTGAAGAGCTGCCAGAGTGCTGGGGAGTTGCAGAAGAAGTTTCTTTCCCTGATTTTGTTTTTCTTCTTTTTCTTTTTTAATATTTTATTATTAACAGAGAATATGTTGAATTTCAGGTGGTATTTCTGTAGGTAAAAGCTGAAAAAGATCAAAACAGCAATGGTTTTGGCAGTACATGTTATAGGCAACAGAACAGCCACACAGTGAGAGCACTGCAACACCATGATGTTCCAGCATAACTCTGTTGATCAGTACTACATGAATGTAGAATAACTTACTTGTTAATCAAGGGATTAAAAAACCTAAGCCCCCTCTGGTGTTTTTTTTTGTTTTGTTTTTGTTTTTGTGTTTGTTTGTTTGTTTTAATTTCTCCATTTTATGGTGCTCCAGTTTGGGATATTTGTGAGATTTCTCTTAAGCAATTTATCCATCGAGGGCCTCTGTTATTCCAGAGGTTTTGACAGTGATTTGAGTCGGTGTAGCTGAATCCACAGGGTGCTGCAGCATAATTTGTAAGTGCTTCAGCTGCATGAAACAACACTAGGTTGTTGCAAATCATAGAAACATTGTACTAATATAGGTTATATTAGTACATAGGATATTCGGTATTAAGTTTCTGTAGGGATTGCTTTATGCCAAGGAGACATGTTAAGACCTGTGGCATCCAGGCAAAGCCCTTCTTACTCCTGCTGTCTAATTTTCTGTCATTTCCCAGTCATGTTCCCAGTGCATGGTTGGTTTGTTGGTAGCAGGAAAGGAGGAGCACATCGCCACAAAGGGAGCTTTTCTTGCACTTACAGAGCCTTTTGTTAAGGGTAACAGCTGGAGGAAGCAGTGTTGCTCGCTGACTTCAGTATCAGCTATGGCTAAAACCCATTCAAGAGGCTGTAATGGGAGGTTGACTGTCAATAAACAGAGGCACAGTATGCATGATGAAAATGTGACATTGCACAGTGCATTTGCAGTCTCTGTCAGCTCAGCCAGTGGCTGGGTGCATCGGAACAGTGATCCTTTGAGGACTGTGCTGGGCATCATCAAATCTAGAAGAGGTGGCTTCAAATATGCATTCATTTAGCATAACCCTGTTCCAGTATCACTGGAAGGGAAGGAGGACAACACAGTTTGTAAGACTTTATTGACACTGTTGAGCAAACCAGTAATTCTTCACCCAGATAAAGTGAGGAGTGTACAGAACCTGAAGATATATTTTGTTTGTTTGTTTTTTATAGAGTTTCCATGCCTCTTGTTGATTTACAGGATATCCACCACACCTCAACTTTCAGGATGCTGTGAGCAGCTTTATAGGTGCTGTACAGTCAGGACAAATGAAGAACCTTGATGAAAGGTTTATGTGCCATTCTGTATAGCATATGCACAGTAGTATTGCTTCTGTCATCATATGTTAGCAACTGGGCCTCTGTAACTGTGGGCCAGTACAAATACATACTGGGGCAAGATCTATGAACAGAAAATGAACACATCCAGAAGAAAAAACAGATTTTCCTCCCTCTTCTGAATTATAAGTAGTGACTGAACAGGACAAGAGACTGAGGTCCAAATCAAGACACTTTGTGTAGAGGAAGTTAAGAATCCAGCATGTCTCCAGCACTGGTTGATGCCTCTGTGGGAAACATGTTCAGAGACAAGATCAGCAAGAAATAGAAATGGGGCTGATCCTGTAATGAATTTTTTCCTCTGCAGCCCCAGTGAATCGTCTTGTTGGCCATGATAGGAAAATGCAGGAGGAGAAAAGGTTTTGCAGCTTTCTCAAGTCACAGATACAATGTTTGCAAGTGCAAATATGGGGAGGACAGGTTAAACTCTCAAAAAAATTTGTGCCTGTGACTGTGTACGTATGGCCAGCTTGGTGCATCCATGTGGGATGAGCAAGAAAGGATTTGTCATTCAGACCTAGGTAGAGGAGGAGCAAAACCTGATGGAAGTGCAGGGCAAATGACTTGGGAGAAAGCTTGGTGAGAGAGAGTTTCTGAAATAGGGGATGGGGGTGAAACCAGGAAACTGCCTTGCACTGCTTGATTATTTCTGCATCGAGGAAGGAAGACCTTCCTCTGTGTAAAGGGAAGGCTATCAAGAGACCTGCAGGGCCAGAAATAAGTTAAAAGGGGATCTCTGGAGGTCGTCTGGCCAGTCCCCTGCTCAGAATAGTTGTGTAGTTAAGCTCAGAAGGTAGCCAAGGCTGGAGATGGCACAACTTCTTCCCATGTCCACCCTCACGTGCAAAATTTTTCTTAACAGTTGCCTTGTCGCTGCTTGCAGCTGTCATCTTCACCCTTTCCCTGAGCACCTCCCAGAAAAGTCTGCCTCTGTCTGCTCAACACCCTCCCATATGTAGC